CGTGTGATGTTAGGCAAATAGAATATGCTGCCTGTCACTGGTGTGCACTCGCCAACACCCTGCTGCCTATCTCCGCTCAAGTTGTTTTTGGTCTCCCGCCCCCCCAACCCTCGGGGAGATTGAGTTTTAAGGCATGCCTTTAAGCTCAAAGCCTCTGGCCATGACGAGTCCAGAGTTTCGCTAGATTCAGTCTCCGCAAGAAAAATGGGACCGTTGCTCTGAGTATGACGAGTATGATGATGTTCGTAATGATGGTGATAATGATGATGCTGATGGTGGTGGTACTGATGATGATGATGATGCTGACGGTGATGGTGATGGTGATGATGGTGGTGTTGATTATGATGATGGTGTTGACGATGACGATGATGCTGATGATTATCACGATGGTGATGGTCATGATGATGATGCAGATGCTGGTGCATACGCTGATGCTGATGATGGTGCTGCTGACGATGACGATAATGATGACGATGATGGGCATGATAATGATGCTGATGATGATGATGACGATGAAGATGGTGATGATAACGATTATGATGATGCTGATGCTGATGATGACAATGGTGATGAGGATGATGATGCTGCTGATGCTCATTATGCTGATGCTGCTGATGCTGATGATGACCATGATGAATAATAATAATAATATGGTTATGATGATGCTGAAAATGCTGCTGATGATGATGATGGTGATGGTGATGGTGATGGTGATGATGATGATGATGATGATGATGATGATGATGATGATGATGATGATGATGTCGCCCTGTCCGCGGCCATGCTCCAGAGCGGTCGGACAGCAGAGTTTGGTGCGAGTGGCTTCGCCATATTCTACAGCGAGGGCCACTGCGCTTCTGGAGAGTTGCACGTGGACCATGTTGCCACACTTTTCAAAGCGGTCAGTTCTCACAGTTGGGCGTTGCCGGGGGCCAGCTCAAAGCCCACCGCATGTTGCGGGAAACTGCCAGGGTCGTTCCAGGCGACCTCCCGTTGTTTGCCAACGAGACAGGGCATCGGGATGAAGGCGACATTCAGAGCTAATAATTGACGACCCTCTGAAGAGGAAACAGGCTGGCTGACCACCATGAGGGGTTAGCTGCTAGAAGCCACGACTACAGCAGCGATGCGCATAGCGAGGCTTCCTTTACCCTCAACATGTGCGCCACCCAGGTTCACTGCACGTATGGGTCAAGCACTGGGGCAGCGGCCTTCGTTCGGGAAGTTGGGTGAGTTGGGACGGTCTCCGGTCGGACCTCGGAAGCCAGTCTCCAAGCCAAATGGCCACCACACCCCAGTCGTACACCTCTGTACATATTTGAAAGAGGAGGTGCAATATATATATATATATATATATATATATATATATACATATATATGTATGTTTCTTAGGCCACATGTTTCGATTCGATCCGAATGTGCCAGACTGAACCCTTCCCTGGAACCTGGAGTGCACCTCGCATGCTCTGCACGTTGCATGGGTCGAGAACCGTGTGCTCCAAGTGTTCTGCTGTGTTGCCTGTGGTGCCATCAACACGTGCAAAGTTGAAAAGAAGCTTTTTCACCCATGCGCACGTGCTCCTTCTTCCAAGAGTAGTAGGCTCAAGAGGGGCAGCTTACCTGGGGCTGATTCCAGGATTCGCCCCACCGTCTCTCTCTCTCTCTCGCTCTCCGCCACTGGCTGTGCACTGAAGGCTGCGAGAGCTGCGTACTTTCTGGTCTTCAGTGCGTTGTGCTGTGTATGACTCATTGCCGGGGGGTGGGTGGGAGGACGGAAGGGATGATGAGGTGTGAAGGGGGGATACGGATTTTGGAGGGAGGGAGGGAGGAGGAATGGAGGAGCAGGAGGAGGAGGAGGAGGAGGAGGAGGATTACGGTTTAGTGAGGGTGTAGAGGGCTCAATGGGGTATTGGGGTCTTGGGATGAGTCTAGGGAGTGTTCGGCGTTCTGGAGGGTCAAGGAGATGAGGGGAGGGGGTGTTCGGCGTTCTGGAGGGTCAAGGGAATGAGGGGAGGGGTCAACATACGTTTTCATTATTGGTTTGCCGTTTTTTCGCCCGCCCAGGCAGCATCGGAACCATTTTAGCAGCGATAGCTCGACGAAATTTTTCGTCCAGTGGTACTGACGCCTGCTCGGCCTTCCGTCGGCCATGTTCCGATTGAGGTACCAAGTCGAAAACGTGGAAATGGAGATGGGCCATCACGGAGAGGGGGCGCAGGGGGGGGTGGGATGAGGGAAGAGAAGGGGGACGGGAGGTGATACAAACGGAGTATAGGGGGCGTTCCAGAGGGAGGTGGGAGTAGCAGTGGAGTACGTAGGATGGACTGAAGACGAGGCCCGCATCAGTTTGGAAGATTACACGCCCCGTTGCTATCACGTCGAGGCAGAGACCTCACACGTCACGAACAAAACACAGAGCGCGCTGCCCACTACCTGGAAAGTGACACCTGGAGTGAAGAGTCGGCGAATAACCTGGCGCCCACGTCATGAAAACAACTGA